AAGGGGGGGGGGAGAAGCGAAAGGCCTCCCTCCCCCCCTCCCTCCTCCTCCTTGGATCTGCCAATGTATGTAACTAATTTGCAGTAGGTGACTGATAATATAATAACTTTTGTTTGGTTATTTTCAGATATACGTAGAAGTGGAAAGAGCTCGGCTGACCAGTCGTCTTGTGAAGAAACTGGAATCAGAAGGTAAGCTTGAAGAAGCAACAACAATGCTGCTTGAACTGCAAGTTGAAACTTATGGCTCAATGGAGCTCAAGGAAAAAGTGAGTTTTTATGCAATAGAAAGAAATATTTTCATTTTAGCAAAGTTCACTAGGATTAAAATTTAATTTTTGCATAGTTCTTTGGTGCCGTCGTTTAGAGGAAACCGAAATTCCCATAAATTTCCGAATTTGATGGATTTGTTTAACTGAAAATTGAAAAAAAAAGCTGAAAAAGAAAGAAGAAAAAGTGAAAAAAATTGAAAAAAAAAACTGAAAAATAAAAAAAAAAAACTCTGCTGAATTTGGATGATACAAAAAAAAAGATTTTTGATGTTTTGGTAGGAGTTAGTTCTGGTAATCTGGAATGAATTGGATGAATTTCGTACCTCAAAACGTAGGGCATAAGCCCTGATGATGAAGATTTTCTTGAAATTTCTGAGGATCCAGGATAATGAATAATAAGAATCAGTTGAAAAAAAAACGTTGATTTTTGATTTATACTTACGAAATCTTCAATAAATTTTGATGATTATGTTTAGAATGCGAAGTTTTCTTTTTTTTCTTTCATTACAGGTCGAATTTATCCTGGAACAAATGCGTTTGTGTGTGCAGAAAAACGATTTTATCCGTGCTTCAATTTTATCCAAAAAAATTTCAACGCGCTTTTTTGAGGATAAATCAGAATCGGTAAGTCAAACTTTTTTACCGCAAAGTGATAATGAAAAAAATTTTAAGAGAAATTTCATTTGATTTACTATTTTTTAGTCATCGTAAAGGAGTGGATAACATAAATGAATAGTTAGAAAAAAAAATCAACATTTTTCAGCTTCCTAAACTGATAGTGTACCTTGTCAAGATCAAAGAAAGTTTAAAAAAAAAGTATACTGAACAAGATGGCAAGATGCCAAGAGTAACATTACTCAATAGATTTTCGACTTTTCATCTTGAAAAAGCTAAAGGATTATGAGTTATTCCTGCCAGGAAAACTGCTGGGCTAGGTATTAGTTCAGATGAGAAATCGATAGATGTTTCTGATTTTCTCGGATTTTTGATTTTAACATTTTGATTCCTACAGATTTTTTGATAGGTATTTTTGGTAGATATTTCTTCTTTGGTAAATCTTGGCAAATATTAGTTTCTGTATTATTTTGGTAATAATTTTGGTAGAGAGGTTTTTGGTAGATTTTGGTAATTTTTTTCTTTTTTTTTGGTTCTGGTACATTAATAGATTGGTAGATTTGGTGAATTTTAGTTCAGGTAAGAAAACGACTAAAAACTCCGGCCAAAAACCAACCGGTTGTGGTTAGAGCAGTTGAGAAAGTTGCTAGCTGCATAGTTGGCGAACCAAATTGTAAAGGTGTCCAAATATCCCAAATTTAAATAAATTTGCTTAAATCGAATATCATTGCGTATGTAGGGGTGCAATTACTTATTTCTCTTGTCAGTACAGTCGTGTGTTTTTGCGCTAAACTTGAAGCAGTCAGGTGGTTAACAGTGTATGAATGGTTGTTGCTTTACACCTACCTTACGCGCTCAAAATCATTGTAATTTTGCATAGAGGAAATGAACAATTTCCGTTTAGTGGTCGTTCTTTGAAAATGATAATGATTTATTTTTACATCGATATAATTTATCATGAATACATAACTTACTAGCTGAAGGAAAATTTTGTCTTTTATTACAGGTGCAAGAACTGAAGCTAAAATATTATGAGCTAATGATC